AATAATAATAATAATAATAATAATAATAATAATAATAATAATAATAATAATAATAATAATAATAATAATAATAATAATAAATAATAATAATAATAATAATAATAATAATAATAATAATAATAATAATAATAATAATAATAATAATAATAATAATAATAATAATAATAATAATAATAATAATAATAATAATAATAATAATAATAATAATAATAATAATAATAATAATAATAATAATAATAATAATAATAATAATAATAATAATAATAATAATAATAATAATAATAATAATAATAATAATAATAATAATAATAATAATAATCTAATTAAGCTGTTTCAATTAACTGATAATTTCGAGAGTGTCTACCTCAATTTTCTTGATTGTTCCAAATCTCTGTTGCGATTGGAAATACTTCAATAGACGACCGTCTAAGACATTCGCTTTTATTACGATGGAGGTTTCTGAAATAAAATATTATAATCTAAGCTAATTTAGTAGTAAACGATATAAACAGATGTAGCAGATAATTCATTTGATGGTACATTATACATCACATGCATGAACAATGTCCCAAATGTAACTGATCCGAAGACGAAGGTCGAAGAATGTTTTTCGAGACAATAACTCTTTTGCAAATGATTGCAGTTCAAACAAAAAAAATTCAGTCTCACTTACATTAAAATTAGAAAGCGCATTAATTGATGCTATTGGAAATTCAAGTATTTAGAACACACTTTTTCAGAATACATCGATGACCAAAGTGTTAAATTATTGAAAATTTAGTTTAATTAAATTATATTTCATTATTTGTACAGCAGTAGCAAACGCAAACATGAAAATTTAAAGACTAGGTGGTCAGATAAATTTTAGGCAAAGTGCCGAAAGAAACTCAGATCGACAAACCAAACTAAAGCATCATTCAATTTCCAACGATAGCTCAGTTATCACGCCGTAATTTACCTTTTTACTCCAAAAATTAAATATATCAGTCTTTTGCGCTATTTGATGTCGCCATCGACTTCTCGTCGCAAGAAAAACGATTTGGCAAGGACAATATCTAGATAAAGAAAAAGGAACTATCAATCGCAGTTTTATAATTCATAACCATGCATTTGCCAGAATGGATAGTTAGATGATTCTTGGTGGTCACAGCTGTGCATGTGACAACGGGATAGGTCATTTTCTTTGACCAATGTAACTTTTTATTCTTCTATTGGTTGTCTGAAAAAAGGAAATTCAAACTTCAACATTTTTAGATCCATTGAAATTGTCCCATTCTTTTGATAAATATTTTGATGTCACTGAAAATTCTTCTGGTTTATATATTCTTCTGCATTAAAATCTTTCAATTTCTAAATCTTAATGTTATGACTGCGACGAACTTCAGCAGAAGATTCACCACATGACTGATATTTTCGATCTCAAATATTTCTCCTTGTAGATCTTTAGAGAGAGGGTGGAGAGAGGTACCTCGTTCCCTGTATCGAGGTGAACCCTCGGTGTAATGCCTACCCAAAAATGGGATCCATGAAATCAGTGAAGAGCGGAGAGCAAGTGGGGAAGGAGGTGGAAAGGTAAAATCGGGACGTGGTGCCAGGCTGAAACAGCTTCGTACTATCGCCCACACAAGTAGATACAGGACTGCCGAACACTGACACAGAAGGACTCATCTTTCCCCTGGTGTTCCACCCCATCAGAGGTGACAAGGAGAGACATACAGACGAGTGCTTAGAGGGCGGTGGCCGAACTAAACTGAATAAAATTGAACTGAACGGAAGCAGGGCGAGCTTCCTCGTCGTGCTAGGTACTCCCAGCCTGTCTCGTCTTCATCTTGCACTCACCCCTCCGCGACTGACATTCACAAACTAACCATCCCAACGACCGACCGACCGACTGACCGGTCAGCGACCGTTAGGCTGGTGCCAGTGGCACCATTTCAGGCACAGTTCCATAACTCACCATTATCAATGAAGGTTGGTTAAACGAACAAATGAATAGGCGGAGATAAGTCCCTCTAACCTTCCTTGGACCCAACCGATACGTTCCTTACTTCTACCTCTCCTTCTCCTTCCCATGTAATCCGTTGCCATTATTACCAGATTCTTTCTATTGCACGTTTTGTCATATTTCTCCTGACATGTCGTTCATTTCGATTTGGACAACTGCTAATAGTGCTACTACTATCTGACCACGGACTCGTATTTTTGTAGCATACTATCACTCGTAGTTCTCTCCTCAAATTTCACTTGAAAACTAAACATTTCAAACTCTTGATTTAAATCGCTTCAAATATTTATTTCAACCTAGTAATAAAGAAAACGTCACAACTAAGTTGAAAAAAATATTAGAATAATACGCTAACAAATTGTTAGAAGCATTTTTAAACTTCACAGGTTTTATTATTGATTACTGCTTTATCTAATTCTCTGATCTGTATCATATAGTTATCACCCCATTCTTTAATTCAGCATATTACAATTGACTAAGCGCTTGCATGAATCTAAAATATACTAATTATTGAGTTGTCCATGACATTGAGTATTCTGGGATGAATTTTTAAATGAATCTTTTAGATTCTATTGTAATATTTGATGCATCAGAATTTCACAACAGTAATCAGAAGCAGTGAAGATGTTTGAGAACTTGAGAAATAATCGTTGGATAGTGGTAAAGAAAATGTTTGCAATAATTTTCATGAATATGAACAGTCTATTTGACTTAAACGCTTACGTTGCAGTGTTTATCGGTAGAAGCGCATGGCGGTCCTGCTACTTTCATCTTTTTCATTGATTTGATTCGATGTTACTGTTATGGATTATCACTAAATATTGTTTAAGAATTTTAAACGACAATTGTTCTTTCGATATGACGATATTTTGAAATTTTTTCAAAAATATAAAAGAAATTGAATATTTGATAAATTTCAATTAATTATCTATATTAAGAAACGTTGAAACTTGAGCATTTCAGTTAACATTCATTTTAATTTCTTCTTTGGTTCCCTAGTCGCCATCCTGAATAATCTAGAATTATGTTGCTTCTTTTTATTCTGGGATTGTTCTTGAAGTGTTTCAGTGGAGAGCAAAAATGACATCCTACTTAAATAAGCAAAATTAGTGCTAATTAGGAGTAAGCTCTAGAATCTAACTTTATTTTTCCCTTCTTTATCCTATTGTAGCCATTCTTTTTTGCAAACTTTCATTTCCATCTTTTTTTCCACTTGCTCTCCTAGTTTAGTTTGTCAAATAAGTGATGAACTTACACAAAGCACTGTTTACCAACTGAAGTTGCTAAATTTGCATAGCATTCTTCCGTTCAAGATATTTTTTTCAATTCGATTCATTCCCCTATCAAATGCTGGGACAGTAGAAATTCATTAAACGAAAGTATTTTCAGAAGTTCACTGCATCGTTGCTACACCTTCTCTGAAGTAAAGCCTTCGTTCCATATTTCACATGTTTTTAATGATTTAGCTAATAAATCAAAGATACTAATAACAGTGGTAAGCAGTAAATATACCGCCGAACTTATCCAATTCGTCACATATTTTGATGCTCTATTACTAAAAACATTCTTATCTAAATCCTTTATGTTGCATCAGCACCAGCCTGCGCAAGCATCATCAAACCAATCTGCGCTGCAATCCTCTAAATCAGTTCGAAGGAAACGCCTGCAGGTATGGCATTATCTATTTAAAGTTTTCTGGATTTTCAATGACACAAATTTAGATTAATGATACGATAGTAATTTAGGAATACTTCTGGCACCAGAATTAAAAATATTAATAAGGAAACAAAAAAAGTAAAATTCAGTCATAGTAATAAAATAAATATATTCTTTACTGCTTCTTATCCATCAAATATTCCGCGATCTTTCATAAATTAAGAATTAAATGTGTATTTAACATGTTTATTCTCTCCTGCAGTTCAAAATTTCTGCATTCTATTCTGCGATTTCCTTGTCCATAAATCAACGTCTTATATAAAACAATGATTGTTGACGATACCGATCTCAATCATTTTCCCAAATCTCGATCGATCTGCAATAGTTATTGGCAGTTCTATCAAAATTTGCTTCTGTCAAAGAATTTTTGTTTAAGAAGAGGTTTCAAAGTTTCTGTATTTTCACAGAAGAGGTCAGAAATATAACAGTATTCATACAAGAATAGTTCAGCGACCTTGATGAAGTGTTATTGCAAAGTAAAAATTTAATCAAAGAAACACAATCTAAATAAAATACTGGTTTAATTTTTATCTCCTCAAAATTGTCACTACAAGTAATTTGAAGCGGTTCGAACTGATTGATTAATAGTTCGATTAACATTTCGCACTGTACGCTGCTATTCACTAATTAGAATGGTTTGCCCTGTTGCTTTTCTGCCACAAATCCAAACTATTATTTGCTTCTTTTGCTTCTCAAAAGATGTCGAACCAGAAACTGCCAGGCCTTTTCACTCAGGCCTTTTTCATCAGCCTTATTTTCTTGACTTTATCGTTATTCCTCCTTCATACGGTTTTATAAATTTACAAAGTTTCTTATAACAGAGGGTCGTCTCAAAACGAACATTTAATATATTTGTATTTGTCTTTCAACAGTGAATAAAACAACAAAATTGTTTTCACATTCCTTTGATAGCTCGCATTAATTAGCTATTTGACAGCTTGCATTAATGAATTAGTTACATTTTATGGTTTTAATTAAAGGGTCCTTCCTCTATGATTCAGGTGGATTATTAATCGTTATTCAATAATGATGAATTATTCTTCATTTTACAGCACTGTATTCGTCAAATTAAGCGTTTAATTGCGGAACGAATACCACCAATGGATCCGGAAAAAAAGCTGGGAACTATAGATGTACTCGATAAAGCCGTCGAATTGGTACTTTTTGTTTTTCGCCTCCAGACCCATCACCTCAAACATTTAGACATGTTTCACATCCAGCTAATTTCACTTTTGTATTCTCTACTATTTCTTTAATATCTTCAATCTTGTTGACTTCTTCCAATTCCAGCTTAAAATGTAGTCTTTTTTGCCATTTAATTTTTAATTTGTCTTCACAAGATACTTATGAGCACACGATAGTATAACCAGGCTAATTTTTCCGGCTTCTCCGCCCAATTATGATTTTCTGCCTATAGACTTTTAAGACGTTGTCTAAAATTGCTCATTTTGAAACTATGCAAACTCGACTAGATCCAATCAGAATACTTACAACTACCAAATTCTGTTTTACCCTACTTATCCCACCGTCGCTCATTGATGACCCAAGGCTTTGAAAAAGCCTACATTATGACTAAAACTTCTTTTTCTTGATGCTAATAGTAATATGTTATTTAAAAATTTTCACTTTCAAAATCATCAAAGTAATAATTAATACGTTTATCCAGCTTACTACCACAATTAACCTCTTAATTAATATAATGAAGTTGTACTACGTACGATGTCGTGCAAGTCTTACCACATCTGTCTTTCCATTTTTCAAAATATCAATTAGCACTATGCAAAACCCATTATGTAAAATTACTTTTAAGCTACGAGCAACGCCAGTGTTTGCTGAAGTCACTAATCCCGGTCTTAGTCCACCTCATTCTTGGCCTGATTCACCGCTCGATAGCATAACACATATTAGTGACGATACCTGGACACCAAATGTTGATTTCGCTCGTCGGCATATTTTTTCTGCAAATATCAATCTACCGGATGGCCGAATTACTGAATTCCAGAAAGTGACTTCGAAGGAAATCAACAGTATTGTTGTGCGTTTGTATTTTGAACAATATTTTTGGTAGATTTTTTACAGAATTTCTGAATTTAACGAAGTTCCAATATCCGTCCATGATTTCTTCCGGTTTGATCGGTTCTCTGCAGTTGACTTAACACTTTTAATTGCATTATTTAAAGGAGTTCCAAACTGTAGGGTCTGCATTGCGGGACGTCTTTTCTGGATGTGGTCGCACTTTACGGGCGACAAGCGTTGCTTGCTGGTGCATACAATGATTCTATCGAGAAGAAAAAATTCTTACACGTCTCGTCGGCAGGTAATTTATCTTTTCGTTCTTTTCAATTTTTGTCTTGATTGAAGAAAACGTTTGTTCCATTATTTCTTGTCTTCGGTGACAAAAGAATTTCCGGATGTAGTACAATAACAGTCTGCATTCCCGAGTTTTTCCCTCAAATGTTCTTCTGAACAAGCTTAAAAAGGAATTACTCTGATATATCCCGTTATAGAGGTTTGAATTTATTCAATCACAGAAAATTCATGATAATTTATTCTAAGTAAATTATAAATACCGTAGTAATAGTAAAAATAGGTGAATTCTCATCTTATTGGAAAACAGTGGTTGAAAAAGTAATGAAAGCATTTGTAATACTTTCATAAGAGTAGCAGTAAGAGTACGTAGTGTTGATAATGATGTCATCAGTAACAATATGATAGCTGATGATGACAGAAGCGTTGATATCGTAGTTTATTGCACTACTCAAATCGTTTGATTTAAAATGAATTGATCGAAATTTGGGAAAGTCTTAAATTTTAAACACAGAGCGGTGATGTTGCGCGAAAAGACAAAGCTGAAAGAGAAAAGAAAAAGAAATGATTTATTATCGGTCAAGTGATACATTCTTTGAACTTAAATTTTAAACATTTAAAGAAAAATTAATTACTGTTGAGTAACAGTAATGGTATGCTTTTGAAAAATCAGTATTAGCAGATGGGAATATATTTCGTGTAATGCACGCTCAGACAGCTGTGTCCGTCATATTGCTTCATAATTGTTGTAGTGTGGAGAAGACATGGTAGTTATAGGCTGATAAGAATGATAATGATGAAATTACAATATATTTGGGATGATAAGGGCTGCAAGATAATGATATTAGTGTTACAATAGTGCAATGAGAAGAGCATGCCATCAAACGGAAATCAGAGCACATACCTGGTTCTACCAGTATTTGACGATCACCAAATGTCACCTCCAGTCATCCACCATCACAATTTATTCGTTCCCAATCAATCCGACCGACAAATGGCGAAGTTTTGAAAACTAAAATCTGAACTCCCTATATTTGTGTCTGAAAAAGTCGAAACAAAATTTAAATTTAGCCAAAACTCAGATTAATTTTGTGGGCTAATTAAAATGACTGAATAATTGACAGCATTATAAAATTGACATATGACAAAATTCATGATTGCTTTTTACAAAATGATTAAGAAATAAGAATTTGTAACAGGAATTTTAAAAAAAATAAAAAAATAAGAATAAGAATTTTCACACATAAGAACTTATTGCTATATATTGTCCTCAGCAACGAATTCATGGAGAAGGAAGGGAATATAGAAAAGTAAAACAGGAAACCGGATGTTCCTGAATATATACTTGGGAATAACACATACTATAATCGAACTAGTTGAATTTGTAACATTGAATGAATAAAATCAAATGAAATTTTAGCAATGAAGCTTTCGAACTGCTATGCGAGTACAAGCGTTCCGGTCATGGAAGCACCGTATCAACTCATATTCATGCACTGGAACTGGAAAGCGCATTTGGTCCATCGAAAATGCTGAGCACATTTGTTTTCTCAACCCGTCATACGAATTCCTGTTCACTTACTCATCTTGATTCATCGTAAGTATTATTTTTTCTTTATTCTTTGAGTATGATATTTACGTAAGAGAGTTCTCGGGATCAAGATTATCGAGGGCTCATCTTTATCTAAGTAAGAAATGATCATATTTGCAGAGCAGCCAACTACATCGGTTATTTGCCGGGTGAAGTGATAAGTCAGTCAATACTGCACCTCTTACATCCATATGACATGACACAAATCAAACAGATACATGCAACTTGTAAGTTCAAGTCTATGGAAAATCGCTGTTAACTGCTAAAGTACAGTTTGAAGGATAGTTGAAGTAAATTGATGTCAACATATATTCGTTGTTTTTCTAGTGAGTGTTCAACGAAGCGAAATAGTACGGCAACGTCGTCTGAGATGGATTGCATTTAATGGTAGCATAATTCACACCAATTCGGAATGGTTTGCATTTTGGAATCCGTGGACTCATAAAGTAGATAGTATAATCGGACGACATACGCTAAATGAGCAACCGATAGGGAATGCGGATGTGTTAGCTGAACCATGTGCGCCGCGTATTATCAATCCATTAGATGAGTTAACAATACGTAATATTGAATCTGAAATTACTGCTATACTGAACAAGGTCAGCTTATTGCCATTTCGAGGTGCAATAAATTCATCTTTGTCATTTTTTATAACAAATAAACAAGCATATTCATTGTAGTCGACCACTAAAAAGTTGCTTATACAATGTATAAATTCCTTTTTTAATTAGATGTGTTGTTTTTGAAGTCTTGAAAGTTTGATTTTTAATTTACTTGCTAAATAGTGCTAAAACCAAGTTGCAAGTATACAACCAAGGCTATTCATTCGTGCTTAGTTTCAGGAACCAATAATACTGATAAGGGATGAAAGATACAAGGCAGCACCAATTGCACATCAAAAAAACTCAAATTCAGTTGAGCTGAAGTCTTCTGGTACACATCTTGGGACTTACATTGATAATCTTATCGAGACATTCGTCATAAATGCTGGAAGTCCCGGAAATAAGGTCATTTTGTACCACATTTTTCACAACTTGTCTGACTTCGCTAATTCCAAGACCATACAGTGAAAACAAAATCTTTTGACAAATTAATTATTGGCTCAATTTATAAACTATTATATTTATTAAAGTATTTGGCACCCGTTGTTGATGCCTGTCGATCTCCAATTAATCCAACTGATCTTTCCTCAGCAAACTGCTGCAACGCTATCCCTTTGACATATAACCAGGTATCAACTGTGTAATTTATTTCGCTCATTTATTAAATTGAAGAAAATTAGAAATTTCATTACACAGTTTGGTGGAGACTGACGTAGTTTTATTTTTGGAAATTAATATAGCATTCCAGAAACCCGTAAAAAAAGAATGAAATTTGATAGCTAAGGTAAGCTAAAACTTGAAATTTTGATTCCAGATTAACTGCCTGGAAAATGTACATCGACTATTAAAAAGTCAACAACATGCAGGAAATGTGGCTACAACACCGACAACTATCGAGACAGCACCAAAAAACATTTTATCGTCGAAATTACCACTATCAGAAGATTCAAAAAGTCCATTTCCCGTACCAGAACAAGAAGATGACAATAGGTATGATTATCAAAAACTTACGTTGAAACTCTCTTAACAATAAAGATAAAATTACAGCATTCAACCAGATAAAAATAAAAGAATACTGTAATAAGCATATAATCCCGTATATTAATGTATGTCAAATACAGGATGTCTGCGGATATAGCAGCACCAGCTATGCCCCTCACGAGGGAACTTCTGCAACAACATACCCGAAAATGGGAACAGGAGTATCACGATACATGGAAAAAACGACTCGGTCTGAAAAGATCCATTCAGGTTCATGCTTGCTTATATACCAATAACAAATGACGATTTAACGAAGTGCAGTCATGTTTAAATATTTTGGAAAGAATCCATATTTTTATTAGTTCTTCATTTCCTGCAAATCATTCAATAGTTTTCTTCTCGACGTTTTAAAATCTTTTGAAAATGAATGACTCCCTAAATATAAATACAGCAAACGGAGTTTGTTGTGCCGGTATCTTCGAAAATTTTCCGCGAAAGCAGTCACAGATTAGCGCTAACACAGAGTGCACCAGCTGCGCTTCCTTCACCGAGGTCAGATTGTTGGGCACCGATGAACAAAGACGATTATTACAGAAGCCTTGGACCAAATCCTCCTCCACCTCCGGGCAAAAATTTCCAAGTAGGACAATTACAAATGTAATTAATTCCTTAGCTCAGAATATAATTTTTATCATGTATAACACCCCAGAAATTTCCAACACTTCTAGAATTTTGGTCCGTCATAAAAAGGATTGTTTCAATACCTATTAGGTTGCAAACTTAAATACATGAATTATTGGATCTAATCTTCAAGTCGGTCGATGTCGAGAGTAATTCTCCTTAAGACTCCGACAGGTGGTATCTCTTTGACCATATTGTACTCTAAGTTGAAGGTATTTTCAGATTACATCAGTGCCATTACCACCTCCACTACCGACTGAGGAACGTCGGTCTGCGTTCGCTCCGCTTCCCAGTACCGCAGCGTCTCCATTTCCCCACACTCTAAAATTACCTCGCGATATATCACAACCGATCAACTTGTCGTTGACTGGAAATATCCATTCAACAGTAGGAATAACAACTGTAACATCTGATGCTATCGACCGGCATTTCCCGACACAACAACAACAACAACAACAACAACAACAACAACAACAACAACAACAACAACAACAACAACAACAACAACAACAACAACAACAACAACAACAACAACAACAACAACAACAACAACAACAACAACAACAACAACAACAACAACAACA